GATATTTACCTGCCTTTTCAGTGAACCAAGATAAGTCATGATATCTACATATGTGAGCTGAACACCTTTAACTCAACTACTTACTATCTCTGTGGCAGGCACATAAACGACTTTATCCTGAACACAAAGAACTATGTGTACGACTGACTGTCCATTTCTCCCAGGCGCTATCACTTGGCCTTATGGTTTAGGCTGTAACCCTTAGGTCAAGATGAATCATCTCTTTACATACATCGGCTTCATCCATCTCCCTCATGATTTCCCAGCACTAAACTTTTTCTAGGGTTTCTTTTTACTCTATCCTTCTAGATTTTTTTTTTTTAAAGGAAAAGACTCCCTTCTGTGACCACTTACCACTAGAACCTGATGTAGCTTGCCCTCTGCGTCTCTATAAATGGCAATCATCTAGGGGTTTAGTGACAAGAAGAAGAAAATAGACTTAATGGATCTTTGATAAGATTGCTTAGAAAGGGCTCACGTACTAAGCAATCTTATTATGCTCTTCGAAATTCTACATCAAGTAATCACTATCAATCTCCACCTTTAAAAGCTTCCAACTAAATTGTTTCTTATTTAACAATCACTATTTTTAGAGTAAGAGGTCTTTAGTAAAATTCTGGTAACGTATTTCTTTCTTTTGGGAGAAGTCAGATAAAAAACCTTGCTATGATTTAAAAAATATGTAACGCCCCCCCCCTTTTACTTTGTTTCCCTATTAAACAAAGAAGGCTCTCTCCAATTAGGAGCCCCCATTAAAGACCATAAAACCATCATTATATGTTCTTCCGTACGGCAAACCAAATGACAACTTTATATTGGAAAGCAAGCTGCTGCTAAATAATACTCTTTAATCTTGTTGAGAGTAGCTTGAAATGTTCCTGAATTGGGAGATACGCCCCTTGAGTGACAAAGCCCCTTATTACGGGGGGGGACCCCAAAACACTCTCTCTCTGAAGTATGACATAGTTAAAAACACTGAAAAAGAAATTCACATAGCTATCACTTTGATGTGATGCAGATAGCAAGCTAAGATTTTTAATACGCAAACTATGATATGTCATTTAATTGTATCTTTATGAAGTATTCTGAAATCAAGAGAAGGTCATACATGCATCAGCCACATTCGACAGAAGACTTTTACAATGGTTTACATTTCCTTTTTATTTATTCCTTGCAACTGCCATATTGCAGGTTTCTCATGGATGAAATATGGAACTGAGCAGATTCTTTTTTCTACAAAATTATGGTATAAACTTGCTCAATTTTCTATCTTATTGCTAATAAACCTTACAGGCGCACAGTTTGTAAAATAAACCCCTTAAGGACTGAATGCGTAGAGCATGCTGCAAGGTACAAGAAATAAGCTAAAAATGAGCATATAAACCTACATCTGGACCAACACAGTACTGAATGCTGGCAAACATTTATCACGACACAGGGAAAAATTAATAAAAGGAGATACAGTTCAGTCCTGAAAGGGTTAAATAGAAACCCTAATATATTATTGTTTCTAATCATTCATCCCACATTACAGTGCTTGAAAACAAAGTCAAAAGTCTGGCACAGAAATTACACACATTTGTTCAGTACTCATCAGAAAACACAGCTGCTTTTGAAATCAAAAGTAAGTAACCTGGTTAATAATTGAATAGCATTTTGTTTAAAAAAGGAACCCCTCCCCCCTGTGGATTATCTGGTTAAACATGATGAGTTTAGTTCTCAAAAATTGCATTGGGAATATTCTGTGAGGGCACAGATGGTACCAGTTTCATTTAAAACACACACACACACACACACACACACACACACACACACACACACACACAAACTAACCAGTTATGATCGCAAGTGAGTCTGTGCAGAGAATGATAAATACTTCCTTAACACATAAATGAGGATGCCCTTAGTTGCCACAGTTGAAGAAAAGTCAGCAGCAGGTTAAATATTATCCTAGTGTTCAATTCAGGAAATCATTCAAAATCAAAAGGGCATTCTACATTTAAAGTCTTTTACTTGCCTTCCCAATCTATGTGATCAATTCAATGGAACTAATAAAAACATACCGGATCACAGACTCAGTTTCTAGCATATTTTTAGAGATTGCATAGCTCATGAGAGCAGAAGATACGCTTCTAAAACAGAATTAAAAAAAACAGAACTCCAAACTCGAATGTTCTCTAACTGAAGCGGCCACCATTCTAAGAGAGTCGTTATGAGGAAAAAGGACCAGCATCTCTAATAATGCCATCTGAGGAGGGGCTGTGTTCTTCTATAACCAGAGGACAAGGCTCCTATAAATTATACACTGAAAATGATTCACAAATCCATGAAGATTTTTTTAAAAGCAGCTGACAAAAGAACTACTGATTAAAATAAGAAGGTACAACAGACAAATCATTTCAGTCTTTAGTTTGTGGTATGCAGAATGGCATAAAATAGCAAGGGAAATGTCTGTATAAGTACATTCTTGGACTTTTCAAACAAAAAAAAAACAAACAGGAAAAGGCTTTACAGTCTAATATTTCAAAATCACCTTATTAAAAGAAACAAAGAGCCAAAATAAGGCATAATTAAATAGTAAAAAAGCAAAGTTCATTTTAATAAAGCCATCAACTTGAAAAGTTAATTTGAGCTGCGAAGATAGGTAAGGAATCGTTTGTTCTTCGAAAGTATCTCATCTGTTATCGGTTAATTTAACACAGTTTCCTAACTAGACACCAAACCTGGGGAGTGGCCCATTCAAAGGACAGCGGCACTGAAAATATTTCCACACTTCGAACAAAAAGCACTGTATAAAGACTACATCAGTGACTCAATAGAGAAGAAATACTACTTGGAAATGAGCAAGTTTGCAAGAAGCAGCTAGTAAACAGTTAAAACAAAGACAGATAAGGCCACAATTCTGCCCTGGATCACTGGAACAGATTTAAAGTGTGAGGCTGGGTCGGCTTACAGGAGAAGCTAGTGACTGGAGCACATCTGAAGAGAAGGCTTATATAGAGAGAAGAATGCAGCCTGTGAGTAATTTAAAAAGGCCTGCAGTAAGAGAAAGCCACAATAACTTTGACTTAACCACTAACATGTTTTACAAATGACTTCCCCCTTGAAAACTGAGGAAAAGGTGATTTAGAGAGGTTAGCAATTGTATTTACAATGACATAGTCTAAGCAAAAGGATGAGTGATGAAGACAGCAAAGCTTGGGGGACCAAAAAAAAAAAAAAAAAAAAGGCTACTAATAAGATGTTTAAAAAGTCTTCTGATGACAATGTCTTCAAAATTGCCCAGGACACCAGAAAGACAATGTTCTGTCTGGAAACACTGCAGGAAGTTAGTTTTGCATTCATAAGGTACTTGTGGCTCCTGTTTTATGGGACAGTAAAAGTTTACCACATTCTAGAGGTAGTTTTTAACTCTAAGAAGGATGATTGTATTACTAGACTGTGTCCTATAAGTTACACACAGGGTTCCTGTACTAAATGTAGCCCAGTGAGTCGGCTGCAATTTCTGAGAAACCGAACGAAGGTATAACCAAAGTACGGGAAGGGAAGCAATGTGAAACCGGTGAGCTGAGCGTCTGAGGCCTACACACAACCCTGAATGCAACTAAATCTTAACTGAATGGAAAAGAAATGTTTTCTGAGTAGGAGACATTTGTGGAGACACTCAGTACTGGGGAAGAGAAGACAAAGAAAGGCAGGAGAGATATGGAAAGATAAATTACATTTGCAGTTTTATAATCTCACAACTATCTGTTCTAAAGTACTGTCTTCGAAGCTATTTTAGTTGGTCATCTAATAAAAGCATCTTGTTTTAAGGTTACAATGTTTTGACCTAGGCTACCAAAAAAAAAAAAAGTAAACACATGCTTTTGCTGAGATTTTCCTCAATAAGGGCACCATCTACCAACTGGTAGCAAATACTTCTCATGATATATATATATATTTTTTTTGTCATATGCCGACAAGGCAGAAAACACCCTGCTGAATGAAATCACTGGGAACGTTCCAAGTTCAAAATAAAACGTTTAACTTACACATAATACAAGTTATGTACAAGATCAGGGAGTTGTGGGGGGCGGGGTGGGGGTGGGGGAAGGGACCTGAACAAATCCTTAAACATGGAGATACATTTACGCATGGGAAAAGGGGAGAGAACACTCCAAATACCATGTTCTGAGCCATTAATTCATTAAGGACTAAATGGCCACATTTAATTCCACCTCTTGGAATACCACTATAAATACTTTAAAAAAAAAAAAAAGGAAAACAAGGAAGTAACTACAGACAGTGTCTGAGAACAGAGACGAAGTTAACGTACATTGCATGTATTGCAGGCAAGGCAGAGGCATTTTTTTTTTTAAAGCTTTTGCACAGACTTCATATAATCTTAAAAAAAAATATGCGGGCCTTTACAAGATTTGACTTGCTGAAACCAAAACACTTTCGACTCATGAAAAGTCATTAAGACATCTGCTTAAAAAAAAAAAAAAGAGTAAGAGTTCCAGCCTTAAATAAAAACAAAAAACCCTGGAAGAATATGGTAATTAGATTAAACAAGCATGGTCAGGCTTGGAACTTGAATGTACTGAAGAGCAGAAGCTCAAAGAGGGGTGGGGAGGGGAACAACCTATTTGGTAACAAAGGTGTACTAGATACTGTGATATAAAAAAAAGGTATGGTGAAAATGTACCTTTTGCTAAAGCTTATGCAAGTTCCTTGGTCCGTAAAAACTATGTTAGATTTGTGTCTTCTAGCTTGATTAACTTTTATTCCAGCCACATCTCTATTTCTTGCCCATTTAAACAAAACCAAACAAAAGCCAACCAAACAAAAAGAACAGCTGGAAAAAAACACCGAATTCCAATAGTTTGTACATTTCCATGTTTTGCTTGTCTGTTTTACTGTGGCTTCTGCACGTCCAATCAGCACTTCTAGGTAATGGGGTTTTGGAACAGTATCACCTGGTATGAAAAGTTTTCCCAAGAAACCACAAAAGATGGTTCATTTTTTTCCTTTTTCTCTCTTTTTTTTTGTCACCATTTTGCCGCACTCAAGTCAGTTTAAGTCCTAGCAAAAAAACGGTAGTTAGGACACCACTGTTGCTGCAGAGGATGTGACACTGGTTGAATTTGTGCTGACGTTTGTATAACCTCCCTCGCTGTTTGTGTTTGATTCATTAGGGGGCACTTGGCCTGAACTGGCTCGAAGGATGGCTCCCGCGGCACTGCAGTGTGGCCGTGGCCCTGGTTCTGGCGTGTAGGTAAAGGTAAGGCTGGTGGAATAAATGATCCCATCGTTACGGACCAAAGTTACTGGGACCTGGACTGGCTGTCGGACCCATCTCCAGCCTTCTCGGAATGCAGAAATGTCTGGGACAACACACAGCATGCTCTCTCCACATCTGGGGGGGGATAGAAATAACTTAGAAGCCACGTACGTTTTACAACTGGAATGAATCCCATGTACCCACCCCCATCAAAAACTCCAGATGATGTAAGAAGTTTCATTAAGTACCTGTACATAGTTTCAGCTTCTACATCCCCAAACCACACTCGTAAATTTGGAGTGAAATTCTGTCCTGTAAGTTCAAGCATTGCTACGTCCCCACCGCCATTCAACTGAAAGTCACAGAAAATGAGAACAATGTTGAGAAAAATTTTCATTTTTCATTGAAGTACACAGATTAGTTTTTCATTTGACTATGATCTGTTAAAAAAAATGAATAAAACTCTTTATTTTTTTTTTAGAGATTTTATTTATTTATTTGACACAGAGAGAGAGACAGCGAGAGTGGGAACACAAATGGGGGAGTGGGAGAGGGAGAAGCAGGCTTCCTGCCGAGTAGGCAGCCCGATGTGGGACTCGATCCCAGGACCCTGGGATCATGACCTGAGCTGAAGGCAGACGTTTAACGGCTGAGCCACCCAGGCGCCCAAAACTCTTCTTTTTAAATAACATGATTATAGGGGTGCCTGGGTGGCTCAGTCGGTTAAGCATCTGCCTTCAGCTCAGGTGTCCTGGGATCGAGCCCCATATCGGGCTCCCTGCTCCGCGGGAAGCCTGCTTCTCCCTCTCCCACTCCCCCTACTTGTGTTCCCTCTCTCGCTGTCTCTCTCTGTCAAATAAATAAATAAAATCTTAAAACAACAACAACAACAAAAACCCCCAAAATAAAAGTCAATTTGTGAGTAAGTGGTCTTACCTGAAGACTTTCTACGACAGGCACAGGGGTGACTGGGGCAAGGACAGGGCCCATTCCCTCATAAAATGTATATTCTGCCTTATCCGTACTAATGATTGTCCAGGAAGCTCCATCATTTATCATTTCTTTATTTGGTTCTTTTGGGCATGGAGTGGCCTTATGAAGAAAGAATGTTTAGAAATCGAGTTTTATATACATTGCAGTATAAGACAATTTTAACAAGGGAGTACTCGTACACTGGAGTTAACAGGGAGAGAATTCAGTACAAATTTATGAACTTCCAAACATGATGCTTTGCCAGTCCCTAAATAAACATAAACAGAATATTTAATTTGGCAATCTCACATTCAGCAGTTTTTATTATAATATATTTTGGTGACATATTAAAAATAATACTTTTCATAATAACCATTTGAGAGTACGCCAGTACCTGTATAATTTCTTTAATAAAAGATCGGTATTCGTGATGTAAATAGTTAATTAAAACTCTTTACGGATCCCTAAGAAAGAAACTAGGAGCCCCTCAAGCTTAAAGAGCATTTAGAAACTCATGCACTTTCAGCAGGAGGGAGCCGAGATGTGAACTGGCATTCCCCTACCCCTACCTTGAAACACCCAGACCAGTCCATCCGCTCTGGGCTGAGGAGAATGGCTGCACGTGGCCACCTCTCTGAAACAGGTCTCCAGATGTTGACAAATGAGTTTCACACGAAAGTGTAATTATCCTATTAAATCATCTGTCCATGTCATAGATGTACTCATGAAAGACTTCTGAATGAATGTAGTCAAAAATCAGCTTACAAAACATCTCGTCATGACCATCTAGGAAGACCCCAATGTAAATCTGATAATTATCAACTCTCCCCCAAAATATATGTGTATCTATCTACAATGTCTTCACACAGCTTCAGCGGATTCACCAAACGCTCAAAATCTACTTTTGGAAGATCTGCGGAACTTTTCGATTTCCCAGAACTAGACGTTAACTGTTTCTCCAAGAACATTTTTATCGTTTTGAGTTCTTCCTTGAGGTAGGGTGATGGCCATGTCTCAGGATCATGTAGGTTAAAGAACCTTTGGACTTGAGATAAATATCTGAAAACAGCTTCATGTATTTGGGTACAATTAACATTACATGAGAGTTTTAGGTTTCTGTATGCTGCTAACTGAAAGACAGTACATTTTTACCAATAATTTTAAAACGTACCTGAAACTGGATTATTCTTTCTTGAGAAAGGCACAAGTACATTCTTTCAGTATCCTTAAGGTAAAATGCACATTTATGGAGTTGTGACACAGGATCATCTGCATCCAGTAAAGCGGTCTGCTTATCAACCTTCCTAATTATCTGTATTTCAATAATTAGAAAAGAAAAGGTCATCACATATGGAGAAACATTTATAAGCAATAAGGCGAGGTGTAAAAAATGCTTTCAGATGACAAGCATGGTAGAAATATGGAAGCTGTTACCTTCTTCACGAACACCTGAAAAACAGGGCGGGCAGATACTTGCTTTCCAGATCACTGCTTTTCAAACTTTGATGTGCATACAAATCATCTGGGGTTCTTGTTCTAATCCCAAAGATCTCATGGGGGCCTAACAGTCTGCATTTCTAACAAACTGACAGCTGATGTTAATTCTGTTGGCCAATGGACCATATTTCGTGCAGCAAATTCAGTTGGCTTTTCCAATAATATACAATGACATCAAAGGAAAAACTGTCTCTAAAGATACTGTGAGTATGCTAGTCAGTGCAGTTCATCAGCTAACATATGTTTTAAAAACCTAAAGTAAGTATCATTTTGCAGATTAGGAAATGGGCTCAGAGAAGCCAGGTAACTTACTCATAATCACCTGATTAGAAGCTGAAGGACCAGAGTGTGATTCCAGGGCTGGCTGGCTGCCTGCCCAGCCTGAACTCTATTGTATTTTGTAATTTTATAATTCGTCTTTCACAAAACACATACAGATGTCTGAAAGAGAATCCTGTCAAGTCTGAGATGCCACTTAGGCCACAGAAGGTCATCACTAGGTGTTTGATGATTAAGAAGAAGATCACTCCCAAAAGCATATAAACCTGTTATAGAACCATTTCTCACCTAAAATCAAAAGTAAAGAAAATCCCTCCTTGACTACGTGTCCCTCTTCCACCCTCTCCACTCCATTTCTTAGCTTCCCTTTATGGCAAACTCTTCTTCCTCACTGTCCAATCTCCTGAAGTAACTCCAGCTTTTTGTCTCAAAGTCCCCACTACAATTGCCCTGGTCAAGGGCCACCAAGGACTTCCAGAGATAAATCCGTGGGTTATCAGGAGGCACCTGTCCTCACCTTACTAGCTTTCTCAGAAGCACTGACACAGACACCCTCCTTTTTGGGGAGAGCCTGCTCTAACTGGCCTTCAGACTGTCCCAGGGCGGAGTCGTCGGACCCCCTTCCCCTCTCTCCATCCTCTTTCCTTTCTGTACAATTTAGAGGTTGGCACCTCCTAAAGTTGCACCTCTAGCCCTAACCTCTCTCCTCTGGCATGCAACTTGGTATATTTAACTACCAACTCAACATTTCCACTTCAGATGTTTAATAGGCTACCGCAATCTTCATCAAAACCCAGATTTTTGGGATGCCTGGGTGGCACAGTAGGTTAAGCGTCTGCCTTCGGTTCAGGTCATGATTAGAGGGTCCTGGGATAGAGTCCCGCATTGGGCTCCTTACTCAGCAGGGAGCCTGCTTCTCCCTCTGCCTGCAGCTCCCCTTCCTTGTGCTCTCTCTCTTCTATCTGACAAATAAATAAAATCTTAACAAATATATATATTAAAAAAAAAACCCAGATTTTAAATTTCTTCCTTCAAGTGATCCTTCTCCAACTCACAGCTCAATAAACAGCACCACCATTCACTCAGTCCAAAAACTCTGTAGTCACCCTTGACTCTTGTTTTCTCTTACACCCGATCATCCAATCTGTCAACAAATTCTATCAGGTCTCCTTTCAAATAAACCTGTCACCTCTCACCTTACCACTACAATCCTGGTCTAAGATGCCACCATCAACTCTTGCTTGAATGATGACAGAAGCCCAAGAGGGGTCTCTCTGCTCCCACTGCTACACCCCATCCATGTTCTCCTCTTCACAGAGCAGCTGCAATTACCCTTCTACACATAAACCAGCCATCATGCCCTGTTTAAAACCCTCCAGTGGCCTCCTATTATATGTAGATAATATCTCAATTCCTGCCTCCAGCCCTCCCCTGGCTTGGGCTACCATGGCGTCCTTACCATTTGCCTCACATTCCCATCTTAAGTTCTTTTTGCACTCATGCTGTCTGAAATGTTCTTCACAGTTTGTGGTCTCTGTCCAAGTATCTCCACTGCAGAGATTTCTCTGACCCCTGGAAGCACTCCCACAAGTCTCACTTTATCCTTTTTTGGCTTATTTTCTTTTCATTTGTTTTAACCTTTAATACATTAATATGGGTATTTCTTTAGCTGATTTTTGTCCACCTCCCTAACAAAATGTAAGCTCCATGAGGACAGAAGACCTGTCTTGCTCACCAATGTACCTCTAGTGTCTAGACAGTGGCTGGCACATGGAAGGTTCAGGAGTATTTGCAGGATGCATGTAGGACTGTAACACTCTGCTCCACAATGAACATCCTTAATAGTAACTACTGAGTTTTATGAGGATTAAAGCAACATATAGAAGTACTTAGAACTCTACTATTAATATCATGCAATACTGTTGGCTTTACTACTTTACATCTCAACATTCAAAGATTTTTAACTAAGCCATAATTGTATAGAAGTCCCAATCTTTAAAGTTAACTTTTTTCACATTTACATTTTTTAGCTCTGCACGTTATTAGTCAGAATATTTGCCATTCTACTAACACCATGTCAATTTTTGAGTTTAAAGGGAAACAGTACACTTTTAGCAATGATAACTTCTAACATAGTCTGGGAGACTGACTAAACTCAAGCAAAATGTTTCAATTCAATGCTAAAATCTTCGAGCTACATTTAAATTTGATGAGGTTTGGATTTTAGAGAAATAAATGATTTTTGAATGATGTAAGCCTAAAGCTTCTAGGTCTACAGCGCTGACTCCTGCTTCCCCATCACATAAGAGTCATGGTTCGTCTAGAGTATCGTTATTCGTGTACTCCACTGTTTCTCCACTAGCTAATAAGCACATTGAGAACATGAGCCATGTTTGGTTCAATTTTTTTTTTAAAGATTTATTTATTTATTTGAGAGAGAGAGAATGAGAGAGAGAGAGTACATGAGAGGGGGGAGGGTCAGAGGGAGAAGCAGGCTCCCCTACTGAGCAGGGAGCCCGATGTGGGACTCGATCCCGGGACTCCGGGATCATGACCTGAGCCGAAGGCAGACGCCTAACCAACTGAGTCACCCAGGCGCCCTGTTTGGTTCAATTTTATTCCCCACAAGGGTTCTTTGGACACGGACACTGCTGAATGACCTCTCACCAATAAGGAAACCGAAGATGTTCACTAGTATTTGGCATAAAAAACTTGCTTTGGTCATTTCTAATTATTTTTTTTAAAGAGTTTTTTTTTTTTTTTAAAGATTTTATTTATTTATTTGACAGAGAGAGAGAGAGAGCTAGAGAGGGAACACAAGCAGGGGGAGTGAGAGAGGGAGAACTAGGCTCCCTGCTGAGCAGGGAGCCTGACACGGGGCTAGATCCCAGATCCTAGGATCCCAACCTGAGCCGAAGGCAGCCGCTTAACGACTGAACCACCCAGGTGCCCCTGGTCATTTCTAATTATTGAGAAAAGGAAAGAAATCTGATAACAAGTAGTGCAAACATTATAACTTAAGGTATGTGTCTGGTGAATTCTACATTCATAAAACATCAGGGATTACTCCAACTGGTGTTCTGGCTTTGTAGCTTGTTGGTACAATATTTACCATATTTCTGAGATAAACTGGATATACAGCCCAACACTGTGTCCGCCAACTTGACCCTGAATCAGGGCTACTCAAAAATCCCCTCCATCTTAACTGAACTGTACTGTTTCAGAAAAGGAGGGGGAACATAAAGGAGGGAGTATTAAGGGGCTTTTGCCTTCATTTTGCTAAGAAATGCAGTTTTTACAGTTTCAAAATCATCCTAGTGAACAAAAAGCCCTAAACACCATGCCTCTCTGAGTATGAAATAACAATTTTTCAATAAATCTATCTTCTTGTAGGAGAGTAAACTAATAAAAACTAAGCTTATATTTTTAAAGAAGTAAGAATTTCAATGCTTCTGAGAACTTGGTCCTGTGGTGGGACATAGCAGGTACCACAGAAAATGATGACAGAGTATCTGTATTAGTTAAGAAAAGAAATCATAATGTAATTATTTAGTGCCCTCTATCGAACATGTTCAGATATACAACCAAAAAGGAAAATTCCACCAAAATTTATTAGAGATACTAGTGTAACAGAAAGTCATTAAGAATGCATTCATAAAAACATAATAAAGTGGGATATAATTGCATGAAATTGAAGTCTATTTTCACATTTGAATGCTGTGTCTTTTATTTTTCCTACACACGACTAAAGCAAAAGTAGAGCCATACCAATCTTGGGAGTGCCATGCCAGTAACGGAACACACAAGTTTGACTGTTTGTCCATAGTGGATGTAGCCATCGCGAACTGTGAATTCTTCTCCTTCTGATTCATCATCATCCACTACGGTGGAGTGAAAAAAGAGATTGAATTATTATCTTATAGAATTCATTACTCTACTTAGGAAAACAACAAAACTTAATAGAGCTGTGTACCTTATTATTAAAGAATTTCACAATTTCACACTAAAAATATCAAATACACATTTTCGTACTCACAGAGATGAATGTAAAATGCTCCCCACTGCTGAGAACTGGCATGGAAATTACCTCCTTCTACATGCAAGTATCTGGTACTAACTGTCTGGGATCGAAGTCGATTAAACAGAGCAACCTTTGTTCCTGAGGCAATGCACACTGCAAAGAAAAAATAGCTTCTATTTATGTGTTGGGGGAAGGGACCTGTACTTGGCAAGTTATGATTATTCTTTATTATAACTTAATTAATAGATTGTGCTAACAAATGGATATCCTAAAAAAAAAAAAAAAGTCAAGGTAACTCTCATTAGTAATGTCACACTAAAGATATAAAATATGTCCATAAGGGGCGCCTGGGTGGCTCAGTCGTTAAGCGTCTGCCTTCGGCTCGGGTCATGATCCCAGCGTCCCGGGATGGAGCCCCACATCGGACTCCCTGCTCCACGGGAAGCCTGCTTCTCCTCCCTCTCTCACTATGTCTCTCTGTGTCAAATAAATAAAATCTTTAAAAAAAAAAATATGTCCATAAAAATAATTTTTAAATGAGAGCTATACAGTATGTTTCATGCAATGCTGTTCATTAAAGGGAAATTATTTTTTAAATAATAAATATCCAACTGTAGGAAATTGATTAAATAAGTTATAATATCATTTACCTACTTAAATAATGTGTATCTAAATGCACTTGATAAAATATCTCCCTAGAAGACCACTGAATGGAAGAGCAGACTATAAAACCCTCTGTACACTGTGGTTCCCTTAGGTGTACGCACATGTACATGTACACACACACACACACACACACACATTCATATGATTACACGTGTCTCTCCATATGCTCACATCCAATCCTATGGAATGTATTCATTGAGAGGGGTCTAGGAGGAAGTTTACCAAGTTGATGTCAACTGCCTTTGTGATTTTAGAGATTTTTGATTATTTCTAAATACCCTGAAGTATAGTGGTATATGAAATTTCTTGGAAACAAAACAAAACAAAACAAAACACGTCTATGTAAGCAGGAAAATATTCTGGAAGTGAAATACGTTCTATGCCAATAAGAAACTTATGATCAATAGAAAAAGTTAGAGGTTAAATAAAATCCAGTAATTTGAACTAGAAATAGTCTAAATACATGACATTAGCAAGAATACTCTACTATCACTACAAAGTAAGCTTTGTCCTCTAGCAACTACAAAAAAACCCCCAAAGAACAACAAATTTAAATCTGACCAAGCTTCTAAATGAAACCTGACCAAACTTTACAGACAGGTTCCTCTGAGCCCTGTTTTCAAGTAGGCCTCTTCCTTGGGCCCAGTAATTGGCCTGCCTAGCCAGTTACTCCAAGAACCCAAGTTCCCCATCTCCCACCCTGTACATCTGATCACCTAGGCCAGTCTTTAGCAAAAAGCCTCTTAAGCTGGCTCCTCTAGAACCCCCCTACCGTTAATGTTTCCTCTTAGTAATTTTCTACCCACTGACCCTCCCCTCACTCTGCTCCTTGATTATAAATCCTCACTTCTCCTTGATGTATTTGGAATTGAGGTCAGTTCTACACTGAAGCCTCTTTTCCCTACTGTGATAATACTGAACAAAATCTATCTTTACCACCTTTAACTAGTGTCCGGTTCTAGTGTGTTTCTCTCTGACACTACCGATTTACAAAATACATTAAACTACACCAAGGAAATGAAATTAACAAAATCCAGTATGTGGAAAGCTCTCAGGGCCAAATTACTCAGTTTCCTGAATAAACACATTACAAAGAGAGAGACAGAGAGAGATGAAGAGGGAATCCACAGATAAAAAATACTCAAGGACGTGTCAACACAATATGTATTAGATATTATATATATATAAATTATATAAAAATTATATAAATTATAGTATCTGGTGGAGATTCAAAATTTGAATTATTCAAACAAAATACTTAAAAAATGACATTTTAGACAATTTTATATTTGATCGACTAGATATTTGATGAGATGAAGAAATTATTTATTTTAAAGATTTTATTTATTTGACAGAGAGAGCGCAAAAGCAGGTGGAGCAGCAGGCAGAGGGAGAGGGAGGGGAGAAACAGGCTTTCTGCTGAGCAGAGAGCCCGACGTGGGGCTTGATCCCAGGACCCCGGGATCATGACCTGAGCCCAAGGCAGACGCTTAACCGACTGAGCCACCCAGGTGCCCCAAGATGAAGAAATTATTTCTTTTTATAGTTGTTTCACATTTGTTTGTATGTGATCACAGTATTGTAACTATATTAAAAAAAACAAGAGCCCCTATCTTTAGAGATACATATTTGCAGATGATACGTCTTGGATTTGCATCAAACTAAAATGAGGCAAAGGAAAGCAGGGTGGGAGATGGGTATAGACTGGCCTGCAGGTAAGATCACTGTTAAGTTAGACGATGAACACAAGAGGTTTCATGTAATTATACAACTGTCTATATGTTTGAAAATTTCTATAACATAAAGTAAATGATTACAGTAATAATGACTGAGAGAACTAACACCAACCAATACATAAAAACCCAGTTAAGTTCATAATAAAACAAAATGAAACAAAACAAAAGCAGTCAAACTAAACAAAACTCCTAAAACCTCACTGGGCCCTTTTTTCAAAGAATACTATTGTTATTCTGCAAATTAGTAAACAAGCATTTATCCTGCTTTTCCTCTGCAGACTATATTTGAAACAAACTGCTAACAAATTAAGAGTAAAAGCATTAGAAAAGGCCCTTCATAAAATACTGGATTTAAGCAGTCATCATCAATGGTTAAGGTTGCTGAGGAACTCTGTAACGAATGGATGGATTAGGCTAACAAGAGCTCAACTTACTATGAACAGTCTTAATAGGACAAAAAATGGGATGATCAGATATCACAGGACTTCGATTTGAAGGAAACGAACATACAGAAGACCAGCTAATTCTAAAGTAAGTCTTTAAGTTTAACCACCACTTTATGGAAAATATGAGAAACAGAGGCATATGTAATCAGCCAGATTTAGAATATGGAAATTCCAAAGGAAAAAAGACCCAGTTTCTTCAACAAACGACATGGAAGAAATAAAAGGGTGGAAGGGTAGAGAATACATTATTACAGATTAAAATGTATGGACCTTATTTGGATCCAAGTTTGAACAGGTCAACCCCTAAGGAAAAAACCCACAAAAACACAACTGTAATAAATCTGCACATGGACTGGCTTTTAGAATGACATTAAAGAACTACTGTCAACTTTTTAAGGTATACTGATGTTTAAAAAGAAAGCTATCTGTTAAGAATCACTACTGTGGAAATGGTGGTTGAAAGAACAGGGTATCTGAGATTTCCATTAAAATATTCCAGCCATCAAGAGAAGGAAGAGGCCATGGAAATAATGAAACCGAACTGGCAAAACCTGTTGAGGCCAGTTGCATGGTCACCATGGTAAAAGGGAGAAAGTAGTGTTAAGTTTGAAAGTCTTCATCATAGAGTTAAAATCAAAAAAAGAAAATGGGGTGTAGGGCTTGAAATGAATAATTTAATCAGACAGCACTTATCTCTGGTAGTCTAAAAATCTGCTCATGAGACAGGAGTCTTTGCCAGAGCAACCATGTTAAAGATTTTGTTTCGGTTTGCAGGATGGCCTTCCAAAGCCCGTTTGAGAATATTGTCTCTCAAAGAGGAGCTTTTGACATTCTTTGTGGATCAATTCTCCATGGAATGTGAATGAGAACATCTAGCATCACTGGCCCAACACACCCAAAGCCACCTTCAATTACTCCCTGTAGTCACTGACAGCAAAAGGAAAAAAAAAACTCCCATTTTTCCATATGTGCCTGGAGAGCAGTGAAGAACCCAGTCTGATTGGGAACTATTTCCCTAGACCAGGTCTTGTTCATTTCAATTAAAAAAAAAAAAAAAAGGGAAGCCCATAAAGTGGCAAAAATAAGCTAGTGTGACAGTTTCAGATCAAGTGAGGGCCACAAAAACATTAGTAAAAAATGAACTTGCTGGGGCACCTGGGTGGCTCAGTTGTTAAGAGTCTGCCTTTGGCTCAGGTCATGATCCCAGGGTTCTGGGATCGAGCACCACATCAGCTCGGCGGGAAGCCTGCTTCTCCCTCTCCCACTCCCCCTTGCTTGTGTTCCCTCTCTTGCTGTGTCTTTCTCTGTCAAATAAATAAAATCTTAAAAAAAAAAAAGTGAACTTATTATCAAAAAGTGATTTTTAGTTAAAAAATAGCTGAATCTATCTTATTAATTTATTTTGGGAATTGGTGGCAAAAAAAGAAAACTCAAGCATACATACAGTCAGCATTTTTCAATGACTGCTTCTTTTTGGAAGGTTTGGAAATGACTTTTATCCGCTTGCTGAGGAACACACCGATGTCATCGCTGTTGCCGTAGAACATCTTTACAGACAACATGAAGTGCTTTCTCTTGTCTGAATCAGATATGTACAATGTTTTGGCTGTGCAATAGTTCTGTGAAAGAAAAGGAAAGCTTCAAGAGCACCAAAACCTTGTTGGTTATGTACTTACAGCTCAGTATGGCCATGGCTAAGTTTTCAATGAATGAATTCAATGAATAACTGATAAAACCAACTGTAACAATTATTGAAAGACAAAGTACAGGTGTCTTTATCAAGGCTATAAAATACAAATGCTGCGATCCATTTTACCCTAAGATTGCTTTAAAACAGTTTTTTTTCTTGTTTAATATAGCCCTATGCCTACATCACAGAATTACCAATGCTACAGCAGTAAATATTTAAAATAGAATTTTACAGTTAAAATAGTCCATGACTGTATTTCTGCAAAGAAAACATATAAATAAGGCTATCAGAATTCAACAAAATTAAAATATTTTAGCAGTGCTCCTTTTGAAAATAGTGCATACAGTGTTTTTCTTTATACAGCTGAACACTAGAGCAACCACCTGTAAGTCTGATGAAAACTATGCTAGACCAACTGGATAATTGTAAAATATTTTATGCCAGAAAGGGATATAAAAAAAAAAAAGGTTGAAATCTCAGGAAACAAACTGAGGGTTGCTGGAGTGGTGGGGGGTGGGAGAGATGGGGTGGCTGGGTAATAGACATTGGGGAGGGTACGTACTATGGTGAGCGCTGTGAATTGTGCAATACTGTTGAATCACAGATCTGTACCTTTGAAACAAATAATGCAATATATGTTAAGAAAAAAAAAAGAAGATAGCAGGAGGGGAAGAATGAATGGGGGGAAATCGGAGGGGTAGAAGAACTATGAGAGATGATGGACTCTGAAAAACAAACTGAGGGTTCTAGAGGGGAGGGGGGTGGGGGGATGGGTTAGCCTGGTGATGGGTATTAAAGAGGGCACGTTCTGCGTGGAGCACTGGGTATTATGCACAAACAATGAATCATGGAACACTACATCAAAAACTAATGATGTAATGTATGGTGATTAACATAACAATAAAAAATTTAAAGAGAAAAAAAAACGGTTGACTTTGCCCAATGGGATAATTCATATTATATCATCAAAAGAACTGGACTGAGGGATGCGTCGCTGGCTCAGTCAGAGGAGCATGCAACTCTTGATCTCAGGGTCGTGAGTTCAAGCCCCTCATTGGGGGCAGTGTTTACTCAAAAAAAGAACTGGATTGAAAGGTAACAGAAAATAAATGCAGCAAGTTATAATCCAGTTTACCAGAAAATAAATTCTGGTAACCTAAAAGATAGAATTACAGAGGTATAGCACTGGCAAAACAGCAAAGACACTCTCACTGCTCCTATCTCAAATATATGTGACAATTCTAAACTCTTTCCTATTCCCTTGATACCTATGAATTAGGCAAGGAACTAAATTACTGATCTCTTTTTCCAGATTGGGTAAATGATGCTCAAAACACCGCTTAGGTATTTAAAATAAACGAGTTATATTTTTTAAAAGATCAATGCTCTACCTTAAAATTAGGCTAAACAAGTTTGACAACCTCTGTTGTGTGTTTCTTTTAAAAATCAGGAAAAACGCCACTCATTTACAAAATAGCTAATGTAGTCTAGGTTTTAAATTTTCTAAATTGTAATCATGGGCAATTTTAGTAGCAGAACAAAAATAATGCCGCAGCTTATTTCATTTCTCAATAGCAAAGTTATGTAAGAAACTGTAGTTGCCATGTGAGTATTTTACACTCAATTAAGTTTTCATAAATTCAGAAGTGTGGTAAAGCTTTGTTCTGCAGAAGACAAAATTAAAATAAAAGTTAATAGTAGTAAAAAGAAAAATAAAAACAACAGTACTTCGCACTCACGCAGCTCCTTCTACTCGGGGATCTCCAAGCATTCAGAGATGCTGTGGCAGGACTTACAGGTCTGCCATACAATAAGCACTGAAGGTGAGATTAAGCCTAAACTACGGAACTGTTCTGTACCATAAAAGACAAAGTCTAGGAAAATGGGTATCAACATACTCAAGCAGTTAGTTACAGGGAACAAAAATGAAATGTGTATTTAAATGAAGAACGATTAAATTCTCATGGGAAAAAGACTTTCACACAAAGGGTTTTATTTTGTTTGGAAAAAGCACATGCACATATATCCCTTTGAAAAAAAGGAAAACGTATCCCTATTTTTTTACAAAAGTGAGTAGTCTTAATCCACAAAAAAATAATCATACCTGGGATAACTGTACTGGAACCATTATTTTTTTTTTTAAACTGTAAGACCACTGACCACAAGCTACTCAAATTCCATTTAAAAAAAAAAAAGGGGAAAAGTCACTACTCAGAAGAAGTATTATGGCTTTAAGAAAATAAAGTAAATAAAGTTTAAAGTTACATTCGTCATACTAAAAGGCTAGATTACCTAACAAAATTCTAGAATAGAAAACAGCATAAAATAAACCTTTCTATAAATAGTAAACAATTTAACTTAAGAACAACTCTTTCAAGATGAGATCTTCAGGCCACGGTAATAACATGTGCCCTGAAATGAGAAATACCAGATATAATACTGCAAAAGTACTGTAGAAATATGTGAATTATACAAATAGTGCTAGCAAGGGAGGTGTATGGGATGTAATTTTTGAAAATAAGAAAAACACAAGTGGGCTAAGTCGGGATTAATTCATGTTGTATAGCTTACCTAGTTCCAACTATGTAAGATATAAAATTGAGGAAATGAATACTTAACAAATTTAAAACATCATTAGATGAAATCTCAGATCCAAAATATTATCAACATAGAGTCAAATGTCATAACCATACAAAGTGCTACATATACTAGAACTTTACTGTAATGAATATTAAGTACAAATACCCAAGAGTGCAAAACAAATATCCCTTCTTTTAGAATAATGACTAATTGAACCATTCAATGAGCAGACTACTAAAAGAAAAGAGTATTACCTTAAATGAACTGAGGTGAAGTGAGACAGGAAAGAGCAAAGGGCCCCTCTCTGAAGCTCAGCATCGCACTGCTCAGGCCATCTTTGCCTACATAGGCCCACACCTACCATGTTCTTACACCTTCAGGCTCCAAGCACATATGATGTTCCTTCCACCTGGAATGCCTTCTGCTGACTCTCAACAAGTCTTACTTTATATAAAGTAAGACTTCTCTAATAGCATTTTTCATTAAAACCAATAATATTAACAAGTAAATTTGGCTTATAGACATTATACTACCCTATTAGTAGATGCTTTAAGTACTAGTTAATGCTCAAGCTTTCAGGTATTCTTTTTGTCTTGTGTGAATTTTTAGGGCTTGGAGAAAGTACATAATGGTTTAAGTTGAAGAAAGATATACTAAACCATGATGCTGGGAAAAGCAAGTGGGGATGCTGTTTGCTTGGTATTAATTCCCTTAAAATTCTGGAAGCTGGAATTCGTTAAAGCAGGCAATTTATATACGCTGGTTAGCTACAATCCCTGGCTTCTCACTACCTAAGTAGTCAATTCATAGTACCAAGTGTCTAAATGTACAGCTTGGAGACCTGTAACTCTGAGACTTTCTACACAACAGGAAAACAAGTGAGACAGGCCTATCAGATCAACCTACCACTTAAAAATATCCTTTACTTTGGCTCAAGGGTCATAATTTAGAAATATTTCTTACTACTCTATTTTCTTTTAAAATGAAACCACCTTTACTGTGATAAGTTTTACTGAAAATCTAATTAAAAAATACATAGTTGACAAGCCTTACTGATAAAAATTATAAAGATACAAATGTCATAAAAATATTTGAAGAAGGCTGTTATTAAGGCTTCTTGGTGCAGATTCTGTGTATTATCTGAAATGACTAAGATTGAACTAGAGTGTACAAATCTCCTAGCTCATCACCTTCAGTGTTACCTGCCAGCCCCCACCCCAACTGCCAACTGCAACATAGCAAACACTAAGATACTCAGTAGATTTACTGAATGGGGAAATATCTTTTTATGTACTATTTTAAGACATTCATGTGATCGTTGAGAACTAACCATTTTTCAAATTTTAATATCAAGGGAAAACAATAGTTAAATGCTAAGTCAATAAGAACTATTTTTGAATACTAAAGGTATAGACTGAAATGATTACTTTCTAACTTCATAAAATACAATTAGTAAAACTAATATATAAATTCCATTCCCTAACAAATTAATCAAAGAAAATTCCTAAAAGTCTTGAGTAAAGCTGATTGTGGCTGTTCTTGTCTATTGTAGTTTTGCTCCACACAGAAGCTAAGTAAAACATTTATGATCTTTATAACCCAGGTAAATACTTCTAAGAATTTATCTCTATCACTTTGCTTCTAGTATAAGACTAAGATTAAGAGAGAGTAAAATATTACTGAACTATGTATTTTCACTGTTTATTGAGTATCATGTACACCCTGTCAGTCACATGACAGATTAGCCTCCTAAATTTATTATCAGCTTCCAATGGAAACCTGATTCACAGCCTCCTAAAACTGCTCCCAAGCTGAAGAAGCTTACTATGTGCCACCTTTAGATGTCCACAGCTCATGACTAGACCACAGCTACTTGACAAGTTTATCTCTGGTGGATAGGGTTGTGTGTGTCTGTGTGGGTGGGGGGGGGGAGGTGTTCAGAAAATTGCTACCAAAAGAGATAAAAGAAAAAAAAATCATCAGCACAAAAACAAATAAGCTGGTACCATGGCGCCCTTTAAGAGAACCAACACAGTTTTAATCTACCTTTCCTTCCAAGTTCAGCTGCTGCATTTCTTGGTCACTATTTCCTATTCCAATAAAAGCACATGGTTGAGACTCTTGTTCAGAACAACCATCTCGTTCCATTTGTTCTTTTTTTTTCTTCCATCCACTGCCCATAAGATACACACAAGGAGGAGGGCAAAAAAACCTGAAACAATATATACACACCACAAAAATACAAAAACAATGCAATTAGATTCAAGAAAGCATTTCTTTTCTTCGAATACATGAATACAAAATTATACTGAAATGCAGTAAGTAATCTCCTAAAGAAACATTTTGGTGAAGCCTTCTGTAATGTAAATAGTCATGTACAGAGCACGGAAATCAAGGCTTTCACAAAGACCACACTTGTTCAGGGCAGGTTCGTCTATCCTAAAATTATGCATTCAATTACATCCGATACTTCTTACAGCAGGGAGTATTTAATTTTCACAGAGCTCAGAATTCTGAACTATTGGAATTCAGCAAATCCAACAATGTCTAAAAGGTTACAGAAGATGATACATCAAAGCAGAATCTACAATTATTAAGATCTACTTAAAATGACATATTATTAATTGATGACATTGTTATGGCTATTATACTTTATTTGGTAATTAACCTGGAAAAAAGATTGAGAGCAATATCCAAAGTAGAAACTTTCAAAATATTAATAAAAGTAGAAGAATTACAAGCAAAATGAACAACTGGATTCCTATGTGCTATATATTACACCCTGAACACCTGGTGCAAGTGGATGACTGAAAGAACAATGCATTGTACTCTTTCACCTCACAGATTACCAACGGATTTGTTTTGCTAGCTGCCAAAAACCTGCCTTCAAAAATTCTTCCCACCTAGAATAACTTCCTTATACGGTTGACCCTTGAACATTATGGGGGTTAGGGGTGCCAACTCCATATGGAGTCAAAAAATCCATGTCTAATTTTTGACTCCCCCAAAACTAATAGCCTACTGTTGACCAGGAAGCCTTACCATTAACATAAACAGTCAACACATATTTGTACGTTATATGTATTATATACTGTATTCTTACAATAAAGCTAGACAAAAGAAAATACTACTAAGAAAATAAAAAAATACATTTGTAATACTATACTGTATTAACTGAAAAAAATCTGCACATAAGAAGAGCCTGCAGATGGAACCAACGTCATGCAAGAGTCAACTGCTATCTCCTCTCTAGCAATTAAGAAATTCTATCTCAGGGGCACTCATTGGGTTGGGCGTCTGCCTTCGGCTCAGGTCATGATCCCAATATCCTGGGATCGAGCCCTGCGTCAGACTCCCTGTTCAGCGGGGAGCCAGCTTCTCCCTCTCCCTCTGTCTGCTGCTCGGACTCCCTGTTCAGCGGGGAGCCTGCTTCTCCCTCTCCCTCTGTCTGCTGCTC